GCGGGCGGATGCGGCGGCCCTCGGTTTTGCGCGGGGCGCGCACGGCACCTCGCAGCCTGGGCAGAAGCGGGAGGCTGAGGCCGGCTGGCAGCCCGGCTCTGCCTTCCCCAGCCCGTGGGAAGTGCTAAGGTGCGGGCGGCCCTTGGGCAGCCTCGGAAATTTTGGCCGCTGTGGCTCCAGCAGGGTTGCGCGTTTAGCAGCAGCTTCGCCTTCCGCGCTGCAACTATTTATTGCCTTATACTTAGGCAAGCGTTCTCAGTTTGCCAAAAATAGACCAACCATGGAAATAAATCAGGCTGACTGGAGGTGCCAACATCATCTGTTGAAACTAATTAGTTTCTTATATCCACTGCTATATTAATCCTTGCCCTCCCTCTACAGACCATCCTGTCAGGAGAGTTTTGTAAATTAATGGGATGTTATGCTCAAATCTGAGGGATGTGCAAAAGGTTTTGCGGCTGGGGAAGGCAGAGGGATGGTAGCAGGACACCTGTGCAGGGAAGGGACAAAATCCATCTACGCAGGGAATGGGGAAGGGGAACCCTGAGGACACGCAGCAGAGCTGGTGAGGAGGAAGACAGAGGGCAGAAGCTCTCTAGAGGGAAATCCTATCTCAGGAAAGCATGTAGGATGAACTTCCTGCCAGACATCTGAGAATCCACAAGGAAGACTATCCAGAAGACACAAATCTGGGCTTCCTTCGTTCTGCTGCTCGCAGAACTCCTCCTTCCCTTTTCCTTTCTGAATGTGGGAGTCTTGGGAAACTTGCTAACTCTCATTTCTTGTATTAGAATCATCAAGTTTGCTGGAAGACACTTTGAGGAAGAGAGAACTGGTTCCCAGATGGCATTGCAAAAGCATAAAAACTGAGCACCTCATGGGGGAAAGGGATGTTCTGCCACGCTGTTCAAAACTCCATTTTGTTTGTTCACCTTCACCCTGTCTATAGCAACACTCAGCCAAGACCTGAAGCCCTTAGCAACACTCACCCACTCTGTGCATGGGGTAAAACATTTGACACCAGCTCTCCAGTCAACTCATTTAGCGAGCATGTGAATGTAAGTCTAGTCTGAGCACACAGGCCTGAATAGGCTTTGAACTGCAACTCACCCTCCAGGAGTAGATGTGGGAGTTCACACTTGGGGCACAGTACCCAGCTGGGGACTAACGCAAACTTTGCAGCAGGGCTACGATCCAGTCCTCCGCGACGCTGGGCAAGCCGCCTGTGTCCCACCAACCCACCCCACCTGCAAAACGGGGATCTGCATCCTTCGTTCTGCGGGGCTTGGGGAGGAGCAGCAAAGACCACAGATCCAGAAGCAAAGTGTGAAGGCTGGCTCTCAGCTTCTGTGGAAGGCTGCCCTCCCTTAACCCCTAGTCAATGAGTACCTGGTCATGTGGGCTGGAAAATCAGAGGCAGCTCTGTGTGACGTTAGCCATCACGTTCCCTTTACACCACTGGCTGCAGAAACTGGCACGTTTTCCTTAGCCCAGTGGTCCAGCCAGGCTCTGGCATACCTCTAACTTCCACCCTCATCTGTCTCATCTATTTAGAGCAGGGATGGCTTCGGGTGGAGAGATGTCTCAAACATTTATGCGCAGTTCCCAGCACAGTGCAGCCCTCAGCATAACAACTGCTGCCTCTCGCTCCATACCACAGCTCTGACAGCAGACTCCGCTGCTGCTCACCTGGCACTATAAGCTCATTTTAATACAGAAAGCAGAGGATAACCCCAGCAAAAGCTGTATCTAGTTAGGTGGAACAAGCCCCAGAACTGGAGATTGACAAAGAAACCAGCTCTGTAAGAGAAAGAGGTGATGTGCAAGGGGAAAGAAGCAGTTGTTACAAGCAATTAGTGGACAGAGACACAAGCTTAGCGGCTGTGTTTCACAAGCTGCTTATTGGTGCGTGATATTCCTCATAAACATAAATTACAATAATCACCACGCCAGGAAGGGATCGCTATAATCCTGATGGGGATGACTTTGAGAGGAGGATGTGGAGAGACAAAGCACCTCGCTGGTACAGCCAGAAAAGGAGAGATTCCTGTGCCTGTGCGTTCACAGACACAACGGGAAAGGAGCCACATTACACGGCGTGATAGGTGTTCACAAGCATGCGGGTCAAAAACACAGTACATCTCCCCAGCAGACTCTAGCACAGTACTAACTAGACTCTACACAGTGTAATGGGGCTGCGTCCGTTCCACCAATAATAGCCCAAAGCAAACTGTCCCTTAATGTGTGCTCTTTGAAGGGCAACATGGTCTGAGGTCACTGGTGTTGAACTTGGCACCCACCAGTGGATGCCTCTGCAATACTGAGCAGTGCATTTGCAAGGCAATGCCTGCAGGGCATTTTTCAAATGTGCCAACTTCATGGCTGAGCAGAAGACAGATATGCTTGGGGTTTTTTTGCAAGATTTTCTGGAATTACTCTGTTTTTGCAGGGTTATTTTTTTCCTTTTTGCATTGTCACAGTGAAATTGCACAGCTTCATGGACTTTCGGGGGAAATCTGGGGTGAAGATGGGCTCACTGCAGTCAGGAGTATTTTGCAGAAAATGGATCTGGCTGGGAAACTATAAGACTTTGCAGAAGTCCTTGGTTGTGATCACCTCAGCTCATGCTGGGGGATACTTTGCTCAGCAAACCCCTGCCCTCCTCCACTTACGCAGTTCCTAGCATGTCGCTTGCCTGGTGCAGTCAGAGGACTGCTGGAATGCAGCCCACAGCTGCTCTCCCTTTTTGATATCACTTGCATCTCTTAAAGATACAGGCCTTGCTTCCTCACCCCTGCGCCTGTCTGTGGTCACCTTCCTGCAAAGAGAATCTCACCCCAACTGCACATTTGTTTGGGAGAGAAGAGAAGGAGGAGGTGTGAAAGAGAGAAGGCTACAGCAAGCAGAGACAGAGAATTGCATGTTAGTGTCTGTCTCTACCCAAACAGGCACGGCAGGTTGGATCCTATCCCCGAGTGGGGCTGTGATGCACATAAGCAAGGATGATGGCTCTGACCTGGTCATGCCATTGGCACAGTCCTAGGACTCCTCACAAGTTACAAACGCAATTTACACCTATAGTTGCCTGCGCAGCTTCCGCAAGGCAGACATCCTTTTCAACAGAGAGGAACACATCCATCTTCTCTGTAGGAGGAATCCTGTTTCTGCTCTCGAGCCACAACATCACTCACCCTCCTCACCTCTGCTGAAGAGCCACCCCTGAGACAGAGCAGCAAGTGCTGCTGAGCTGGGCCACTTTGTTAAGCCAGAGGGAAATGTTACCTCTGTTTTGTACACTGCAAGCAGCATGCAAGCTAGAGAGTATTTTCCAAAAGCAGCAGGGAAGGCTGCAGCATCCTGAGTAGCATTTTAATCACAGACCCAAGGGGATTGCTAGGGCTGCTCTTCTCCAGAACACTCTCCGTCAGCAAACACCTCTGCAGAGATGTGAGAAAGAGCACGGAGGGGTGAGTGCAGCCTCGGGGTGGTGGGGAGTACAATCCCACACTGAGGGAGCTGGTCCCAGAGGTACGGCCAGCACGAGGGCAAGCCCAGGGTGTGCACACCTTGTCCTCGTGCAAACTTGTCCGAGGAGGGGGCTCTGGGAGCACAGCATGGAGCTAGGGCCAGTGCAGCGCCTGTGCTGTAAAAAAATCCTCTGCCTCATGTATGTTCTCCATGTGGCTTCTAGCCAGACACATTAAAACCTCCCCTGCTCTCCCTTGCAGGGCTGAGGCCCCATCGGGGACACTCCATCCAGCCCTCGGCACCCAGCATCAGCAGAGAGGGAGGAAAGTGCCAAGGCTAGCTGCGTGAACAGCCAGCGGGCTGGGAAACCTGCCTTAGGAGGAGCCTGAGGGAGTTCAGGCTGTTTAGCCTAAAGGGCAAAAAGCTGAGCAGCAGTGACAGCAGTCTTCAGATGGATTCAAGTGGAAAGGAGCAACCTGTCCTTGGTGACTTCAGTAGGGAGTGCCCATTGCGGACAGGTATAAGAATCTGCAGTTTTTGTTACAAGCTGTTTAGCCCTCATTTAATACCTTCCCCCAGACCGGAGGCAGCCCTGCCCGCCTGTCGCAAGAAGTTATACGCTCCCTGTGCAGTGACCTGCGGAGAGACAGGAGCTCACCTACGCCGTTGCCAAGCCAGGAGGCATCGAGTCAAAGCCAAAGCTGAAGCTGTTCGGATGTGCTTAGCAGGGAGCTGCATGGAGCGAAGGTGCCAAAACTGACCAAGCGATGAAGTGCCAGACCCAATAAGACCCAGTTTAAAAAGATACGACTGCTGAACAGTGCTTCGCCCAGTAGGCATTACTGTCTGCCTAGAGAAAGGTTCAGAGCTCCAATTTGCAACCTAGTCCTCTCACCACTCATTAAAGGCCAGGCAATCCTAATAAATATAGAAAGTATATTAGTGATGACCAAGACTGGAGCGTTAGAGAAACAGCAACATGAAAAACAGGATTTCACCTGTTTTCCGCCTGTAGCTCTTCTGGCCTCATTCCCCTGTGCTTGCCTCGTCTATGAAACACAGGTCAGCTCCAGGGGGATTTCACCTGTTTTCTGCCTGTAGCTCTTCTGGCCTCATTCCCCTGCCACACAGAGCATCCCTCCACATCCCCAGATGCTCATAGCGTGTTTTCTCCACTACTAAACTCACGTGGGCACGCATGTGTCCTGCTTCAAGGCAAGTGGCTGTGTGCAGGTCCGCAGGGAATATTTTACAGTCACTGCATCCAGGCAGCAATTCCCTTTCCCATTGCCCTGACATTCAATAGTAGTGCAGGCACCGAGTCATGGAAAGAAAATGTGTTCAGTCCCTCCCCTGCCCATGGACAGTTCTCCCTTGTGCACGCGCAGGCATGTGGAAATCATTGCCCAGAGAGCAGTGCTGCATTTCAGCAACCATCAGAGCGCTTTAGTTTAAAGGCTGGCTGTTAAAACAAGGAAAACTGGCAAATGGCCCCTGTGTTAAAGGGCCCAGTCCGACACGTCCGGATCTGCTTTTACGGAGTGCTGGAGAGGCCACATGAAAACACTTCTGTCATCTGGAGGGTGGCTGCTACAGCACCACAAGGCTCAGTGTGTGCATGCCACTCTGCATAGTGTTAACAAGGGGTGTAACTGCTCTAGGTCACCCCGTCTAAGAGTCACCCCCATAAATTGCACCTCTGTTGGGCATCTGCAACTCCACTGACTCCGGGAACGTAAATGGGCAAGACAAAAGGAATATTGTTATTCCCGTTTTACAGATAGGTGAACTGAGGTATAGGAGAAAGACAGACAAGTTCCGATAGCCTTGTTAATGCACACTAGCGCTGATTCCAACTGCTAAGAGAGCTACCTCAAGGTCACACTGCAAAGCTCCGACAACATCCATAATCGAGCCCAGACAAACTGCAGTCTACTCTTGTCACACACACGAGAAATGAATCCATTAACTCCCTTAAAAGACCAATCACCCTGAAACTAAAGGAGGTAAAAATCACTGCAAAAGTTAATGTGCTGCATGCTTCACACAAAATAAAGTCACTATCCACAAAGTATAGTTGGCCAAAATACAGCTGACCATGGCAACCAGCAAGCCAATTGCAAACTGGTGAATCCCAGCAGCAGCTCCTCTTAATTTTGCTCATGGAGCATCACCATAACAACGGATGCACCAATCCAGAGACTCACGCACTTAGCAACCAGAAGCTGCCAAATTATGAAAAAGTAAAAATTATGCACAAAGTATTTCCTCCAGGATCCTACTGTAGATGTATTCCATTGCAAAACTACATGCAGCATGGTGGACATAGCCAGAGAAATGCACAAGGAGAGTATGATGAACACTTCTCCTCCAGTGAGTAGCTTTGGATCAAAAGCATCCACCGCCCTGCAGGCAGCAGGCATTACTAGAAGGTAAGTAAGTTTGGCCTTTGGTTTTCACATTTCGCTCAGGGCTGCGTGTGCCCTCCTGTCCATTACACAGCAGAGAGGGAAAGCCTTAAAGCAGGCACAAGGCCAACACGCAGAACTGGAGCTGATGGCCACATAACAACACTTAGGCCTTGCACTGGCCTCCTCAACTGTCCAGGTGGGTTTAGGAGGTGCTTCTTAGAGGTCAAAGCATCTTAGCTTCACAGAGACACTCTGCTGGGAGAGACTGCTGTGTTTCTAAAGCAACTTAATGCCAGCACCAAAGGAGTTTGCTCCCACGAGTGGACCTTGTCCCTCATGATATGGTGTGAAGCAAGAGCAGAAAGGAGATAAGTTACTTTTTCAGGGAACAATCCATCTCTCTCCCCACTGACTCACT